AAATGCCAGCCATCCAACTAAAGGAGCGTACTAGACCCACAAGGGGCTTTCAACTCCCGATAATCAAAACTAAGAGCACACTCCTTTCCGGTACTCAGAGAAGACCTTCGTTCGGTGGCGACGCCATTACTAGAAGGTCGAATCCTTTTCCCTTACTAGGGGCCACTCAAAAGACCCGACACTCGATATTAAAGACCCCCGAAACCCAAGGACATGCCTGTCAAAAATAAATAGAGGGAGTCAGTAAGTAACAAATAAGCCCCCAGCGCCCAATAAGCCGACTGCGTTCTCATCTACTAGGGGAGTGATTTCACGTCCTTCTCTTCGCTACTAAGGGGTTCCTAACGCATACTGAGAGCTTCATCCTTTCTATGGCCGGCCGTTACTAGAGAGACACTAATTAAAGCTTCCTCCACTTCTGCGGCGACCCCTACTCGAAGGCACTCCTTTCAACGATTCGGATCCTTTTCGACACGCATACTCGGAGCTTCATCCTTTCTTTGGCCGGCCGTTACTAGAGAGACACTAATTGAATAGCTTCCTCCACTTCTGCGGCGACCCCTACTAGAAGGCACTCCTTTCAACGATCCCGAGGGACATTACTAAAATCCGTTCCGTTCGACAATGTACTCGGAATTTTCGCATTTTCTTTGGCAAGCCGGCTTACACGGAGGTGCTGCTGAGAGCGTTGTCCTTTTCTGCGACGAGCCCCTACTGAGCTACTGATCCTTTCGACATACTAACAGCCGGCGACGTCTATCTACTAAGGGGTTCCTTTCGCATACTAAGAGCTTCATCCTTTCTTTGGCCGGCCGTTACTAGAGAGACACTAATTGAATAGCTTCCTCCACTTCTGCGGCGACCCCTACTAGAAGGCACTCCTTTCAACTACTCGGATCCTTTTCGACCGGGTACTTGCCTACTCACGGCTTAGCAGCGACTACTGTTTCAGATCCACCGCAAACAAATGCGATGGCCTTACTGAGCCTCCACATCCTTGACGCTCTCGGCTTTCCTCCACGGAAGTTTATCGCTTACTGACAGCTCCGCGGTGGACACTTTCGGGACCTTACAAATAAATGTAATGCCCTTACTGAGCCCCCCACTTCCCTGCTGCTTTCGCTTCCCTTCACAGAAGTTTATCGCTTACTGACAGCTCCGCGGCGGACACTTTCGGGACCTTACAAATAAATGCAATGCCCTTACTGAGCCCCCCACTTCCCTGCTGCTTTCAGCTTCCCTTCATGTGGTAGGAAAGGGCCTCTGTTTGTTCATGTTGTGGCAGGTGCGCATGAGGCGTGATAATAGGTGTCCACAAAATCGCGTTTTTGGTGGTTTCTCCCTTGCACAATAATTTCGAACCTCTTACCAAAAAAGCGGTCAACTCCAGTTATTAGAAATATCCTGAGGGGTCTCCCACAGACAGAAGATATGCCTGGCTGAGCAGAATCATTGGCCTTGTCCATCCAGTCTGCTTTTAAGGTGACCTTTGGAGGTGTACGCTTGCCTGAAAAATATTCCAGTGGCCCCTTCAAAGTCTGTACATTCAAGGGTGCCTGCCTATAAGATTTTCTGATGGCCTCTGCAAGGTCATAAGCCTATGGGCACCGGTCTTAAAAAATATTGTGATGGTCCCCACAAGGCTTTTGGTGCCCATCCAATTTTCTGGTGGTCCCTTCAGGGTTATGCACTGTCTATAATATTTTGTACTGGACTCCACAAAATGTTGTAAGTGAGCATCTACAAAATATTGTGCTGGTCTCTACAAAACATTGTAGTGGTCCTCACAAGTTTGTGACTGCCCACACCCAAGGGCACCTGCCTACAAAATATTATGATGATCCATGCGAGGTTGTGGGCATCTACAAAATATTTTGTTGGTCTCTACAAAACATTATGGCCCTTATAAGTTTGTGACTGCCTACAAAATTGTGTACCGGACTCTACAAAATGTTGTAATGGTCGCCCACCTACGCTGTGAGTGCCCACAAAAATTTGCAATGGCCTCCACAAGTTTGTAGATGGACGGTCTCAGAGCGCTTACTTGCCTACAAAATATTCTAATGGTGCCTACTAGGTCGTAACCCCATGGTCGCCTGCACATGTGGAATGAGAGGGCGCACTCCGAGTAGAAGATGCAGTAGAGGATCGGTTTCGAACGACGGCTCATTACGCTCGACGACTACGAGGCACGGCGTAGAAGACTGCAAAAGCAGACCCTGCCCTTAACTTGCCTGCCCTAAATGATGCCTGCCCTAAATCAAGCTTGCCCTTAACTGGCCTACCCTAAACTGAGCCTGCCCTTAACTGAGCCTGCCCTTAACTGGCCTGCCCTAAACTAAGCCTGCCCTAAACTAACACTCAAGTCCGCGTGGCTCGCGCGCTTCGTGCGCGGCGTCTCACACAACAACGATGAAGTGAGGTTTAAAATTATTCTGATTTAAAATTGTAACAATTTTGTTTAAGAGAAAAAAAACTCGTCGCGCCGAGGCGCGTTACC